TTAGGGATTTAGTTTATGATTTCAGTGTTATATACCCAAAATTTCAGTGTTGTGATTTACAGATTCTCGTTGCGATTTACGGATTATCGTTGCGATTTACAGATTCTCGTTGCGATTTACGGATTATCGTTGCGATTTACAGATTCTCGTTGCGATTTACGGATTATCGTTGCGATTTACAGATTCTCGTTGCGATTTACGGATTATCGTTGCGATTTACGGATACGCGTTGCGATATACGGATACGCATTGCGATTTACGGATACGCGTTGCGATATACGGATACACGTTGCGATTTACGGATACGCGTTGCGATTTATGTGTTCGCGTTGCGATTTTCATATTCGCGTTGCGATTTTGGAAAATCGCAATGCGAATTTGTACTATCGCATTGCGATTTTCAAGAATCGCGTTGCGATTTTGGAAACTGATTTGCGATTCTGGGGATCGCGTTGCGATTTTTATTTCGCGTTGCGATTTTGTTGGTCATTTTGGCAAATCCAAAAAAAGTTGGTTAAAATCGTATATTATAACTTTTTTTGGTCACTGAGGCGATTTTCTCTTCAATATAATAGGTAAAAATATGATGTAATAGGTAACGCTTATATAATGTAATAGGTATCGTTTATATAATGTAATAGGTAGTGGTTATATTGTAAAGTGTCTATCCTTTTTATAAAAGTGTCCATACTTTTTTAACTGTGGAAAACATTAATTTAAGGTTATCTTTTGAGTGAGTTTTAAGATATTAATTTAGTAATTATAGGCGTCTAATGATTTATTTTTTACGTTACGATATATTATTATTAAATTAAAAATTCTAAATAATATTTTATAAAATATCAAAAAATCAAATAATTTTTTGTGCAAATGAAATTATTAAATTAATATTGTAGGTGGAAAACATGAAACACTATTAAAAAAATTGAAACATAAATTACATAACTTTAAAAGAAGTATCGATCCTTTTTATAAAAAGTATGGGCACTTTCAATATAATAGGTAAAAATATGATGTAATAGGTAGCGCTTATATAATGTAATAGGTATCGTTTATATAATGTAATAGGTAGTGGTTATATTGTAAAGTGTCTATCCTTTTTATAAAAGTGTTCATACTTTTTTCACTGTGGAAAACATTAATTTAAGGTTATCTTTTGAGTGAGTTTTAAGATATTAATTTAGTAATTATAGGCGTCTAATGATTTATTTTTTACGTTACGATATATATTATTATTAAATTAAAAATTCTAAATAATATTTTATAAAATATCAAAAAATAAAATAATTTTTTGTGCAAATGAAATTATTAAATTAATATTGTAGGTGGAAAACATGAAACACTATTAAAAAAAATTGAAACATAAATTACATAACTTTAAAAGAAGTATCAATCCTTTTTATAAAAAGTATGGACACTTTCAATATAATAGGTTGTAATAGGTAAATTTGCAATACTATCGGTATAAATATACCGGTTTACTTATAAAATAGGTAAATATAAGCGCTACCTATTACATTATATAAGCGCTACCTAGTATGTTATTGTACTTTATAATATTTCCGGTTAAATAATATAATATAACCGGTATAAATTTTAACCGGTCACTTGTTTAACCGGTCACGCCGTATATTAACCGTTTTTTAGGCGCCGCACCGCATAACTACCCGAGAAAGGGAACATTGCGGAAAACAATTTAAAAGTAATAACCACCATACTAAGAATACACACGTGTACTAATACAATTATGCATTCATATACCCTGTTTGTGTGCCCAGAAAACAAACTCTTACCAAGTAAAGTTTACTACATGTAGAACAGTGCTGAAGAACATTTTTGGCCTTCTCTAGAACCATATGCAATGAGCATAAAGCCTGAATGCCAGATTTGCTCCTTGGCCGTGCTGATTCTAAGGAAGGGAATATTAACGAAACTTTGCAATAAATTGCTGAAAGTGTCTTACACCAATCTCCATGCAACTGCATAAGGGAAAAATCAAGAACAGAAGTAAGAAAATGTTGAACATTGAAAACGTTTAGTCTTCTTTATCCTTAATAACACATGCAACAAGTTTCAATCATTACCGCTGCACTAGAAACAAAAGGCCTTTGATATTTAACGGTACAAAAGATACTCAGGAGATGGACTGATGTCATCAAAAGGATTGTGCAGAAAGTGCATTTACAAAAAATAAAAGAAATAATTGGCATGCCCCCAATTTTATGAAGTTAACATGAATTAAAGAAACAGCACATGTATGAAATGACGGTTCTGAAACTTCAAATTTAACATATCCAAATGCTTTCAAATTCATACTTTGGCATCACTAGCTGCAAATAGGTTCTCTTCAACCTCAAAAATATCCATAGCATTCACTGCAAGAAACCACTAAAATGCATATCTATATCAACTGAAATGCAAGAAAAAATAGAAAATAGTCAGATGGTTACAAACTAACCATTAAAATATATGTGAAAAAACAACAGAAACATGAAATTACATGTATAACTTAAACTCTATTCCTTTAACTACATAAAAATCAGAAAAACTCATTTTTATCCCCATTGACACAAATATTCATGACCAACGATGCATCATGAACATCAATAAAAATTTCTCAAGCCCTATTTGTTTCAATTGCAATGTAATCAAGCTTTATGTATTTCAACTTTCCTAAACAGATGCACCTTAGCAAAGCAAGTGCCTTCTTAATCTCAGTTCAACAGTTTTCTATATATATACAATAGAAGTATTATTTAGAAATGTTCATACTTTTCAAACATTTCCTATTTGATATGTGCACCATAAAAAATAAAAGGTCAAACGGACAATATTAAAAAGAAATCGGCATATAAGAAGTTCACTAGGCAGTATGAGCATTCTTCAATGAGCAATTGATCATGACATTATTTGAATATCGAGAAAAAATTATGATTTTGACTTAGGCATTTCATAAAACACTGGAAGATAGAACTACGAAGGAAGAGTTTCCATTACAAAACAAAATCTTATGATTGGTATTGAGAAGTATCTAAAAACATTCTGATTTAGACATCTCATCAAACAATTGAAATATGCAAGATTCTGTCACTACTGTGTAGGTGAAGTCGGGGTCTGATCGTGAAGCACAATCGGATTAGGGATTATAGAGAATATTTGGGGATGAGAAGTAAGGTTCGATCGTGAAGTAATCGGATTAGGGATTATATATCACCGTTCTTTTGTTTCATTTTCTTGAATTTCCTCAGGTTGGTGGATCACTGTTTTGGCTCTAGATACCAATTGTTATGGCTGAAGAGGGAGATTTCAGGATTGAAAAAGGTAAGAGAAGATCGAAGTTTTATTTCTTGTAATTTCATCATACAATACATATTACAAAACACCCTTATATACGACTAACATCTAACCTCCCGTTGTAGAGTATTCAAATTACAACAGACCAAGCTTATTGGGTTGTTCACCCAACGACCCACTTAACCAAGCTACAGACCCAACTAACCACATTACCTTACCCGACGTCGTTTAGGCCTATCAGTTTATTAGTAACATTCCCATATCAGATCGCCCCCAATTCTTCAATCCCTAATCCAATTGCTTCACGATTGAACTCTACTTCTCGTCCCTAAATCTTCTCTTCAATCCCTAATCTGATTGTGCTTCACAATCAGATCCCGACTTCACCTTCATAGTTGTGATAATAATTGTTATGGTTGAAGAGGAAAGGCAAGAGAAGATTAAAGTTTTATTTCTTTTAAAATTATATTTATTAAAAACTTCACTTTTCCAGAATTACCATATCTTTTAAAATTATTATTATTATTTTTTATTACTTTCCAACCATTTAGTAGTATGTTTCATATAAGGTTTGTTTTCTTTCCATACTGACCACCTTTTGATCCTTATATATATGTTTGAGCAATCCAATAATTCATGTATGTATGTATGTACGAGTATTAGGATGAGCATTGGTCGGGTTGGGTCGGGTTTTTGGTCCATCCGACCCGACCTGAGAACAACGAGTCCTCCACCCGATACTCGACCCAACCCGATCAAAACAAGTTTTCACCCGACCCCGACCTGATATATAACTTAAAAAATTGACCCGAAATAATAAAAAATTTATTTTTAATAAATAAAAACAGTGACTTAATTGAAAAAAAAAATAATATATAGATGAGTATTATTGTAATTATTATTAAATATATAAGATAAAATTATATTTTTTTTCGGGTAGGGTATTTTCACCCTAAACCCGAACATCACATTAAAAAACCCGACCCGAAGCTGAATTTTTTTTAATAAAAAAACCGACCCGATCAGGTCGGTTCGAGTCAAAATCCATCGGATTCGGATCTATGCCCATCCCTAACGAGTACACACTCTAACATTTGTCCCCAGGAAAAAAAAAAGCTACAATTTGGAAAGCTACTTTCTTATTTATCAAGTAACATCCGTTTAAAACATTGTAGGCTCAAGTGGTAAATTCTTCGCTTTTTAATTTGTTCCATCCAAATATTGTATTTAGTTCGAAATTCAGTCGAGCTTACTACTAACACTAAAACTGAACAACTTAGTCATCCATTACTAAAATTTGGTATATTTATTAAACTTCTAATATATTGTTTCACATTCAAAATTCAAGAACAGAAATATTATTTTGATGATATACTCACCCTAATACTCTGCCAATCTTTACCTAAAAGGCTTGTGTTCCAAGCTAACCAACCTTGTTTGATTATAATTAAACTTTACATGCAATGCATTTTTGTTTTAATTAGAACCCAAACAGAAGTGCAAACAAGTCTTTCAATCAAACATCCAATTCATAAATGGTGTCTTTCACTAACTCCACCAATCATACAACAAAGGAAGACCTGAAATATGATGAGGACATGGAAATCATGATGAAAACATTTAACATAACAAAAAAAAATTCTCTTTTCCCCCAATTTGAAACGATTAAAAATGAACGGGGAGATTAAACAAACATTCTTTAGATCTTTGACATTATATTCCCACCCCCTCAGTTGCAGTCCCGACCACGTCTTCACGCATAGTTCAACCTGAATATGTCATTCAACACATAGAAGCTTCCCTGCTGTGTCGGCATCAGATGAAACATCTAAAAGAGCAGAATGCATGACAAAGAGATTGGTTAGTGAAAGTCCATAAAACAAAACCATGCCAAACTATCAAAATTAATGGAAATGGTGGACAAGAAACAGATAAATTTTCTAAACAAAAAGATAAATGTCTGACACAGCACAACAATGAACATTTAACAATGAAACTTATACAAATCCGAAAGTAAGACATTTAACCATAAGGAAATCATTGTCGCGCAGAGAGGAGAAGGGATGTGAAGTGTGGGTTTCTTTTGCATCCTGCAGAGTCCCAAGTCCCAACAAACAACATTGGGATAGATACCAGATGATTATTCAGAGTAAGAAACGAGCACACACTCTGAAATTAATCAAGTAGAAAACATATACAGAAAAGCAGAAGAATTATACTAGCAAAAAGGAAACTCAGGAAATAGAAGAAATCTCTAGATTGCGGTCTATAATTAATGATACAGTTATTAAAAAAACCGGCAGGCTAAGGTAAGAGGAAAGGAATATCCAGGATCTGACGGAGTTTAATTAATTGGCAAAGATTTTCACATTTTCCAAAATCCATCGATGAAAATTTTCAATTTCAATTCGATTATCTTACACTCATGTTCCCTTCTTAAGTTGATTACTGTAGATTCAAATTGAATTAAAAAAAACATGTAATTCCTGAAAATGTAATGAACAGTAAATATCAAAAAGCATCAATATCCTGGCTGAAAATGTAGATTCAAATTAACAGTGACACATAAATTACGCCCTGCATCAATCGCCTAACTACAAATCAAAACCCTTTAGCACCTAAAACCCGAGAAAAATGCGATAGCACATAAGAGATTTACCTGGCTGAACTTGAGAGCATGCTGTTCGCCGGAGAGCTGGAGGGTACCACTGACGAAAACAAGCATACCACCGGCACCGGAGGGCTGGCAATCGACGGTGGTGATGTTGTGCTGACACTGCTGGAAAGGAAGGCTGGTGAGCTTAGCGACGATGCTCTGAGCGCCTTGGATCTTTTGACCTTCGAAGGTCAACATTGAACCATCCTGGTAGAGGTTGGCTAGACCGGGCCGGTTCGAATCGAACGTCGCGTAGTAGTGCTCGACAAACGCCTTCGCCACTGCATCTGGATCCATCTGATTTCTTTTTTAAATTATTTTTTTTTCTAAAAAAGTTATCTTTTTGATTTCTAATATGAGATTGAGCGGTCGATTCAAATTTACGCCAGCGAAATAGAGAGAGAGCCCATAGGGATTTCGTTATATATATATATATATAGAAGGAGAGGGCGAGGAATGATCTAACGGCTGATATTGAATGGTAAAACGAAAAATCTAACAGGCGGCTGGCTTTTTCACCGTTGACTTTATTTGAATATTTTAGCTAAGCGAATCGCTCTTTGCGTCGCGTCAAAGCAACGCAGCCTCCCATCCCTCTTTTTCTTTTAAAATTTGAATTTAATTAAAGCAATAATTATTTTTTATTCTGTATTATTTGATAATAAAGTAATTAAAATTCATGATGAAATAAAAAGATGATGCTCAGTATATTATAAAAAAAAAAACAAATTCGTTCTGTGATTTTTTTAGCAAAAATACTCGAGATAAAGCTTTTGTAGACAGTAATGTATCCATTTGTTGATTTTGTTAGGTAAAGAACAAAAATAATAATAATAATAATAATAATAAGAGGCACAGAGACGTCGACAGCAAGGTCAGAACCTGCGCGGGCAAAACCCTACTGGAATATATTGACATTAATACTACCAGGGCACACAATTATTTTTAAATAAACTCAAAGCCTTTGTTTAAACTGTTCCGTTTTAATTTATTTATTTTTTGGATAAGTTTTATTTATTTATTCTACATTATTATCAGTGTTTGATCGGTGGAAAACAAATGGTTAATATAATTCATTTTCTGGTTAATTGAATTTCTTTTATATTTTTTAAAAAATGACTTACGATCTGATTTTTTGTAAGTTATTTTACGAACTTTTTAATTCAAAGCATAAACACTCAAAACATTATTATTTTATATATTTAATATTAATATATTATTTTTGTATCATTCTAATAAAAATTAAATTATATTTATTGATAATTTTATAATATAATATAATATTTTTATTTTAATAATATATAATAAATTATTAATAAAACTAATATTATTTATTAATTTAATACAAATAATATTATTAAATTGTTGAATATTTAAAATATACTCCTTAAAATATAATACAATATTCTTATTTTAATAATTTAATAATAATATTATTATTTTAATAAGTAATTAATATACTTAATAATATATTATTTTTATAAATTTTAATAAATTAATATAACTATAATATTTTTATTTTAATAAACTATAATAATATTGTGCAAAAATATATAATAATAAATTGTAGATATAATATTTTAATAATAATATTGACATAAATAATATTAGATAAATTATTCTAATATTTGAATAATAATATTATTATTTTGTTAATAAAATATATTATTTATTGCATTTGATGTTTATAATTAATTTATCAACCAATGGAAAATGAATTACACAACATCATCCAAATATTGTAAATTTATTTTCAGAAATCAAGAAATGTAATTCATTTTTTCGGAATCTGTTTTTCGTGAAACAAACGGATTCTAAATTTATAATATTAGATAGTTGAAATATTTTATTAAAAAAATTAATTGAGTTTAATGATTTTGAGATATAATAATTATTTTTATCAAAAGAGAGTAAAAATGTTTAATTTTGTGTGCTTCCACGTCTCTGTGTTGTGGCATAAGGGCGTAAAATAGAAAGGGAGGGATGAATTTCTCTCGTTTTTGGCATAACGAGCCCCTAACAAAATGATCGCACAACATGCTATTAGCTCAATGAAGGAGCGTACCCATGATAATTATATCAGTGTGTCGGGGTTGTGAGAGCTCTCGCTTATATAAATAGTTAAATGTGTTTATAAACGCTTGACCTTGAGATGTGACTCATGCAAGGAACATTAGCATGACAAGCTTCTTCGGTTCAAGCTGAGGTTTGAAACGTAAACTTTTCCTCAAGAGGATAGATGGGACGATTTTGGAGAGATCCAACCATACATCATATCAAAGATTATTCACTCGTTATTTCTTTCTATTCACTCGTTGGATCTAGATTACTCAAGGGAACCATCGATAATTCATACATCATATCACATTATTTCAAAGGTGTTGTTAAATGAAATGCAAGGATTTTAATAATGACATCCATGTTTAATTTGGACCGTTGGATGAAAAATAACAATATTGAAATTTTTGGAAAAATGGCAAGGGAAAAGTTGTACATGACAAAATATTTTGTCCATCTTTGACTTTGGAAGACGATAAGGTTTATGTGGCTTGTTATTGAGGTAAATATCAAGTTTTATTAAGGGTAAATTAGTAAAGATATTTTAATTTTAAGAGTAAATTGGTAATTTAACATTTAATGAATTTTTAATTCATTATTTAATAAAGAAAGATGAAGAATTTTCAGGAGAATTGCTTCATCTTTCTCTTCAAGTGCCGTGAACTCCATATCCAAGATAAAGATCAAAGAAACTTTAAAGGTAAGAAAAAAGTTCAAGAGTAAAGCTAGGAACGCTAAGTAAGGTTACCAGTGAAACATTATCAACTGAGTGCTTTCTTACTATATATATATATATATTATTATATAATATGATGTGTTGAATACTTTTGATAATGAGATATGATTTGGCTCATATTATGATATTTTTTAATAATTTATTGAGTGATTTAAATGATTTTAGATACGAGCTATCAGATGTAATATTTAAATTACATTTTGATATATTCGTATTTATAAATATTTTGATATTTAAATGACATGTGAATGAAAAAGCCATTGTTTTCTTATTGATATTTTTATTGTATGATACTTAACTTTGTTAATATTTAAAAAGACTATGATGAGTGTATGATATATAATACTTAATTATAATGATGTTAGAAAAGATTTTGATAAATGACAGTTAAATGGTCCAAAGAAAATGCCCATTGTAAATGCATTGAGAGTCATAGGTATAAAGTTAGAGTATTATATGTACAATTCTACGTAGCACATTCGTGTGCAATTCTACGTGGCACTTCGTGTGCAATTCTACGTGAAAATTTCGACTGCATAATGGCACTTTATGTGCATATCTACGCGACACTATATGTGCATTCAAAAAACTCATGATGATTGATCATTATGATATTCCTGATTTATACAGTGTTGTTGTGTTCTACAATACTTGTATATTCTACGTGGCACTTTAAGTGCATATTATATACGCGACAGTTTTGACTGCTTATTGCAGATACTCACATATGACTCGAATACCTTGAATTCTCAGTGATTTACAATGGAGATATAAAATGAAAAGGTGAATAATATATACTATGAAATGAGTAAATTGAAAAGTTTATTTAAGGTGATATAAAGATGAAATAGTCTGCTCAATCGGGTATGAAAGTAAAGTTCTATTAAGAACTCTAATTTGGCATAAAACTTTTCATGAAGAATCTTCGAATCATAAACGACCTTTTATATGATGTTCTTATATTTTTATATTTAGGTGATACTTTGATAAAGATGTTCTATTTCTATTATTGATTTTATTTATATTAGCATTATTATTAGAACTTAAAGCCTCACTATGTAACACCCCCAAACTAGGGGTCAAATTATGAGTTTATGAAATTTATAGATAAATTTAAAAGTTACAGGAATTCGGGGACCAAACCCATAATTTACCCATTTTTCTTTATAAGTGAAAATTTAACTTTCCACTCCCCGATCAGTTAACCCAATAATACCTAAATTTCATTAAAATCCCTAAAAACATTTTCTTTCCCCCGATCGAACCTCATCGGCCTCCCTGAGCCATGTCGTCCGGCCACAATTCGGCCCTTTACTACCCCCCATTCAACACGTTGTCGATCGACGAACAAAGCCTAACCCCCAATTCACCGTGAAACGACATTTAACGTCGTAAAATTGTGTCACAAAGCTTCATAATTTTCCTCGGCACGCCTTGATTTTTCGGCGATTCCAGCTGAACCGATGAGCGTTGAGCCTCACCGCCGTCACCAACAGGTTCACCGGTCTGTTTTGCCTAAAACCCGACCCGTGGGTCACCGCACCATCGTCGTTCTCACCAGCGACCGTGGGTAAGTTTTGGGTTTATAGTTTGGTTAAATTTCTTCCGGTTTTGGTTGATATTTTGGTTTGATTTTTGTCTGAATGGTGTGTAGATGCTTCGGGAGTGAATGGCCGGTCGAAATGGCCCTTTTCGCTATTACACGTGCTCCCATGCACCGTCGAGTGCGTGTGGGGCTTGTTTTGGGTCCAAGGAAATTTCCAGAACTAGGTCGGCCCGATGCGTCTGGTCTGGTCCAGTCACCTAGTCAACTCTGTTCGAGTCAACCCGTTGACTATGACTGTTGACTTTGAGCAAAAAGTCAACTTTTTTAAAAGGTCATATTTTATGTTTTTCGACGTCCTGAGTCCGAATCCAAAGTTCGTTTTGCCAAATTCGCATCCGGTAAGTCGTTTTTCAATGTTTTATCTTCGGATTCAAGTTGGTTTCTCAATTAAGTTTAGTTTCTGACGTAAATTCATTTGTTTTGTATCCGATGAATTATTGGACGTTGAATTCATGTTTGAGAGTGATCAAATGGAGTTTAAAGGGTCAATCGATAAGGCACGAAAACAGAGGTAATATATTACTACCTGTTTCATGCTTTATGGAACATGTTGGTACTGGTTTCTCCGTGGATGTGTATAATTGGTCACACATATGTAGTGATCACTTCCTAAACTCGATCCTAATATTATAAAAAATAGGTAATCGAATATGACTTATATGACTCGCATAAGAAAACGAAAGATCAATAAAAAAATTAAATGATTTGACTTTAAGATCCATAAAGTTTGATAAATTTTCTTAAAAGGTTAATAGCATGATTAACTGGATATGAAATTACCGAAAAGAGCAACATGAAATAAAATTACGAAAATGTCATTGTAATGGAAAAATACTAAGACTTCTTCTAATGGTGAATAATAATTCTGAAAGGAAAACTTGATTAATTATCAGAAAAACTGCATTTGATCAACTTGAATGTAATTACTGAAATGTCCTCGAGCTTCGTAATATCGGTAATAACCTGCAATGATCAAAGGAACAAAATACCA